CCCGCTGGAGAGATCGTCGCGAGCAGAGGCAGAAACATCGGCGCTCCACGGCCGCAGCAGCTTCGTCTCGCTCAGCTCCACCACCAGCCCCGCCCGTCAGAGACCACCCCTCCTCATTCCGGCAACCTGCACTTCTGCGTTTCCCCAGAGATCGCCTGCAGACGGCGCTCGGGGCAAACAAATCGCAGAGCTCACGGGGGAGAAGATTTAAAAAATGACGGTCTGCGGAGGATGTGTGTATAAATGACACAGAAGTTGAAATAAATGATTTTTCAATGATCAAAGTGTCTGTTTTTAGCCAGTCTGTAAGCTCGGATGAGCTCACAGCCACTGCACACACATCCTCCACACATAAAGAGCCGGTGTCCTTAAATAAAGGTTTTTTAAACCCACCGCCGCTCCAACACATGACGAGACGCTCACTCGACACTACGGTAAGCGAAATAACTCGTTATCAATCAGACCCGCACGATCATCACCCAAGTGGTGTTAAACACGCACCCGAGCGAGGCAAGCAGCCTCCATCCAAACGGCGCTGTGTTGATGATGCACGCACAGCTGCCCGGCGCTCACCGGCTCACATCGGTATAAATGTGGGACCGCAGGCCGGGTCCGGTGGAGGTCCCGCTCTCAGCGAAAACAACACACGCCTCACCTGAGCAAACGCGAGCGGCCGTCATCCACCGCGTCTCAGCGATCGGCAGCTCACGGCGGCATAAGCGTGAGACAGCTGAACGAACCCGGTGACGAGCCCTGCCCCCAGCGAGAGCGGCGCGCGTCCCTCCAGAGAAAACGTGTGCTCCCGCGAGGCTCGCAACCTTCACTCCGACAGCACGGCGTTGATGAAGTCACGCCCTCCGCCTCTCAACGTTCGCACAGCGACGTTAAACGTGCAGCCCCACGACGTCATCAGCTGGCACACGCTTCGCCTCAGCACACACCGGCCCACCCAGACATGAAGGTTGGTCCGCGATCCAGACGCAGCGCACGGGCGCGTGCAGAACAGCCCTTTCGAGGAAGCCTCGCCTTGGGTCACGAGGAAATCATTTCCGCGATGTATGACAGCGGTCGAGGCGGCGGATTGGATGACATCCGTTCAAAACACGGCACATCACTTAAACGCACGTCCACTCCACGAACGTTACGCAGAGTGGCTAAAAACATGCTCGCCGGACAGATGGATGGACAGAGTGTTATGCAAGGGTTACACGCTACAATTTGCAACCCGACCCCCTCCGTTCAGAGGAGTTATGGAGACGGTCCTGTCATCACCAGACCAAATCTCAGCCTTAAATGCAGAAGGGTGTGCGTTCAGCCCAGATGTTACACATTGCGCGAAAGCAACTGTATTGGGCTCACCAAAACCTGCTCTCCATCAGAGCGGTTTACATACCCGGTGTTCTGAACAGAGGGGCAGATGTGATGTCCAGGGGCAGTCCACGTCACGCGGACTGGACCCTCCATCCAGACCTGATGGTTCAGACGTGGCAGAAGTTTGGCAAAGCAGCTGTGGACCTGTTTGCGACACGAGAGAACGCTCAGTGTCAACTATGGTTTTCCCTGAGCCCGCGAGACGATCCACCGCTGGGGGTGGATGCATTTGCTCACAGCCCATGGCCCAAAACGCTTCTGTACGTGTTTCCTCCACCTCCTCTGATTTTACGGTTCCTGAACCGAGTTCAGGAGGAGGGATTGACAGCTCTCCTGGTGGCTCCCGAGCGCGTGAACGCACCATGGTTCCCAGTCCTGCAACGTCTGTTGTCGGGTCATCCGTGGAAACTGCCGTGGAGGGAGGATGCTCTCCTTCAAGCAGGAGGAGCGATCAGGAGTTACCCAGAATTAGGCCAGCACCTGTGGGTCTGGCCGCTGAGTGGTCCCGCTTAGAGAGGATGGGTCTCCCACAGGAGGTAGTGCGCACAATCCAAGATTCACGTGCTGCATCTACCACAGCTCTGTACACATCAAAGTGGACGGCTTTTCAGCGCTGGTGTACAGAGAAAGGTTTAGAGGCTACCTCATGCCCATTAGGCGGCATGCTGTCTTTTCTACAACAGCTAATGGATAGGAAGTTGGCATTCAGCACGATTAAAACGTACACTGCAGCCATCTCTTCCTGCCACAAAGGGTTCGGAGACAGAACAGCTTTTAATCACCCGCTGATGAAGCGGTTTCTAAAAGGTGTACAAAGACGTAGGCCTGTTTCACGCCCACTTGTTCCACAGTGGGATTTAACGCTGGTCCTGCGAGCCCTGATCAAAGCTCCATTTGAGCCTCTGGATCAGGTTTCACTTAAATTCTTGTCTCTTAAAACAGCCCTGCTGCTGGCTTTAACATCCACTAAGAGGGTGAGTGATTTATCTGCCCTCTCTGCCGCTCCGTCATGTCTCAGAATTCAGGCTGACGGTAGTTCAGCTGATTTAAGACCAAACCCAGCTTTTATGCCTAAAAACATCACGAGCTCTTTTAAATCAAGAGTGATATCGTTGGAGGGATTTTTCCCTCCCCCCCACAGATCAGAAGAAGAAGCATCTTTTCATCTTCTCTGTCCGGTGCGGGCGTTGACGTGTTACATAGCACGCTTAGCTGTAATGCGTCAAACTCAACACTTGTTTGTGCATTATAGAGATGCATCTGCAGGTCGCCCGTTATCCACCCAGCGCTTGTCACACTGGCTGTGTGAGGCCATTTCTGAAGCCTACAGAGCATCAGATCTAGAGCCTCCTGTCAACCTCTAAGCACACTCGACCAGGGGTATCGCATCTTCGACTGCCTTGCATAATGGTATGTCAATGCAGGACATTTGCACTGCGGCTGCATGGTCAACACCCTGATCATTTATTTGCTTTTACCTACGTGATGTGACGGCTTGTTCCATGACACATTCTGTCCTTAGTGCTCTAACAGAATGAATATTGTTGTTTTTCATGGAACTCTGTTTAAGCTCACATCTGTCTGCATGCTTCACAGTGTGAGATGTTGTTATCAGTCACAAGTTGTGTCTATGATTTTGGTTCTATTGTCACTAATCAGTTCATTTGATCAATAATCAGTTCATTGATATTAATCTGTTTATACTGTTCAGCCATGAACCAGTTGGTTCATGCCCCCCCCCC